AATTCCTCTAAAGCGGTAACTTCGATTTGTAATTGTTTGACACCTATAAAACGATATATATTTTGTTATTAGGATAAATCGTATTCGTAGCTTCTTTGCAAAATTAAAGAAAATATATACTTTCTTGATTTCCCTTTGTACCACCTAATGGATTTAACATTCCCCATAATCGAGATCGAGTTTCGGTTTGTCCATCAGCTTCACCCTTTCTGGCTAACGCAATTCGTTTCTTTTTCGCGATAATCATATCCATAGTTTGCAACAATCGTTTTTCTATGGACTGTACATCCGTGTAAGAAACTGGGCGCATAAAATAAGTCATTGAAGTATATGGATAATTTACAGCGCCAAAACCTGACAGAAGGGCCATTACTGTGACACCTATAACACCTATTCGACTGACACCTTGTTCTATAGATAGCAGTCCTTTCTTGGGACTCAGTATGGGGAAAGGATCACCCACTTTCCAAAACAGGTAGAGATAAAAAAAATATATGACAACTGTCAATGGCCGTATTAGATTCAGTCTTACTACACAGATTAAAAGATTTATTAGATTTAATATAAATGTTTGACAAAGATAATCAGTAGAAATAAGAGTTAAAATATAAATACATACCAAATCTGATATTGCTGATAATAAAATATGCTATGTAAAATGGTATCATGACTATCACCATAAACAGAAGCATGTAAAGGCCAGCATTCCAATGGAAATATCTAGAACTGAGGAAAACAATTATATCATAACCAAATATGAAAGACTGAGAATAAATCAATAAAAAAAAAAGTAAAGTAGCTAATGGATGCCTTCCATTTAGTGACACAAGTCAATACAAATGTCATTCTATCTTTCTTTACATTTCTTTGAGTAATAAAGACAGAACTAAATGGAAGGTATTCAATGAAAGCTCATGTAGATCTGCAACATATAGATATTTAATAGTAAAAATTACATAAAATATACAAACGTGCATCACTCAATGCCATTACTATTTGCAATTACTAATTTATTATCTTTTTGTGCTTTTTGTTAGGACCTGAAGAGGCCCAAAATACATAATCAATAAATAAATATCTGTATATTGTGCAATTTTAACATCCATGTGGGCTTTTATTAGCTATAATTTTAAGTTTCTTTTTATAATGTATCATATCTTAAAACAGAATGTGAATATTATTTTTTTACCTTGAGTCGAGTACTCCTGCTATTTCAAAAATAATTAATTCAAACATGGTACATGACAACGAAAATGTTGTTGAGAAAATTAGTTGAACTAGTCTATGATGAACTTCATAATCTCTGAATAATTTCTTCACAAAGAACACCCATCCTCCTAAGAAGAAAATCACCTGAAATATACAAGAGACAAAAATAAATGGAATCTGTCATGTGGAAATTCTATTCACATTAAATCTGTCCAAAAACAAATAATTAACGTATTGAAATACACGTACATATAGATTCGATATTTTACTAAATAAACTGCAAAGCTTTACAATACAAAATTTATTGTAATAATCTCAAAAATACATACATCTCACACAATTCAGTTACAGTTTCATAAATATGTTATAATGCAGAGAGAAAAATCCATAGACAATAATCCGCAAAAAATTAATGTTGATTGAGAATATAACAAGAAATCTTTTCAGAATACAACCAAATGATTTGTATTTTATATTATGTTTTATATTAAATATCATTAATAACGAAACAAATAATTGTTCATATTATTTCGAGATATACGTATAGAGCACCGTACTCTCTTTATAACCTTAATCAGTTCAGGAAGTATTGATAAATCTGATTTTTGTAGTGGAAACGAATTTCCACCTGTGTTACGAGAATCACGATAGTGTCCTCGATGAAACCCATTTTCCACTATCGCGATTTTCACTTCGCATTGCGAAGTTTTGACCGGCGATGCTCAGCACTTGACAGGACGCAGGTGGTTCCAAACAAAACGAATACGACAGCAAATATTGTACTTAAAGCAGAGAGAAACCTAAGAGAGGCCATGCCGGCTCTTTTCCTGTTACCGTCGAAATTGCCCGTACATTACCGCCACTATCATCCATTTTCAGTTTGGGAACTACATATATTTTCTGACACTATCAATAAAATCGTATCGTCAAAAGTAGATGTGATTTGTCTCGGTACTAAAATCAGCATATTGTTATATCTCTGTAATTTAATTCTCTGTTTGTGAAATTATATTTTTACTCCTTCCGTCTAGTCTAAGTTTACTGTTTCAGGCTTTCAAAAGATGTGGAAAAATTCATGGTTATTTTTTAACATATCTATTACATTACAAAATAGTTTTTTAATGAGATTTTATGAGAGAAAATCGGACTCTGTCATCCTTTATTTCGAAGAAATTTAAGAGTAAAATTTTGCGTCAAAAAAGACTCAGATTGGCAGACGAAAGGTTGATGATAATATATCTTGAAATCTATTCTGCACACATTTATAACATATACAGAGTAATTAAAAAGTAATTTATTGTTATTACATTGAACGCGCGTTTTTACGTTATGTGTGTCGCGATATATTTAATTAATCGGAGTTTATATTTAGTATAATATAAAAGTTATGTATTCACAGACTAATATATATTCCCATATAGCATAAATGTCCAAGGGATATTCTCAAGAATCGTAAACCTGAGAATTTTCCAGCGTACTGAGAACATTCGCAGAAATACATCTGTGGGATAAAGTGTGCTGTATATATGGATTATTAAAAAGTGACAAATGAGATTGTTAACGTATAAAATAATTTAAGTATCGTGATATTGAAAAAGAGAGAAAAAAATATAAATATAGCCGAAATTGCATACTTCGTGTCATTAACTTTCAAGTTCTTTCTGATAATTCTGCGAATGAAAATAAAAGTCAATCTGCATAAACCGTAATCAGACTATGAGTTGCCTGTTATCGGTTCTATTTTAGCCAATCTCATACAGGGAATATAGACTAGTTATTCCCAGATAGCACAGAATATTTATGACAAATAATTAATTATTATTCATTTTTTGAAATGCTATATAAATATATTTTATATATATTTCATACAAAGTTTTATTCGAAATATCAGATTAAAAGATAGACTAAATATTTAATGTAATATTATGATAAATATAAATAAATATTTCTGTTATGTATTTCTTATTTGAACTATAATGTCTTATTAAGTATTTTCATAGTATTTATTACAAGATTTACAATAAATATTTCACAATATTTATAATAAATGTTTATGATCTATGCAATCTATAAGACCACAAAAATATTCATAAAATAATAATTAAAATTAAAGATAAATTTAAAATAAGCCTTATAAATATTTATAAATATTTTGTAAATATTTTATAAATATTGTGTGCTGTTTGGATTGCAATGATGATTGGCTAAAATGTAGAATCGTTAACTAGCAATCGTAACCAGCAACCTGGTAGTGTGATTACAGTTTAAGTGGGTTGATAAGAGATAATGGAAGAGGGGAGAAGAAAGTATGAGTGCTTTCCATTGGAAACATAAATCAACATAGTATTGTTCTATCTTTGTTACTCATGCCAAGAAAAATAAAATGACGTTTGTGTTGACTTGTATCATTAAACGGAAAGCATCTTTTGTCGAGAGTGAAATATAGTATTGTATATATAGAGTGAAATATATAATAAGTGAAATATAGAATTTTTATGGCCAAAAACGAGACATAAGATTTCTTAAAGATATGTTTTATATAAAAGACATTTTAAAGATATCTAAAAAAACATCTTTAAGACATCTTATATATCACGATTTTGGACTTTTTGTTGTCTGGGAAGCCTATCAGAGAAATATATTAGCATCCTAAGACATTATTTAAGATCGTCTTAAAATAAGAACGGACTATGAATACCGTTCTACATAAAAGATTTGAACGTATTGCAAGATACATTTAATGTGATAGTTTCAGATTTAGAAAGCTTATTGCTTAAATAAGCTAGAATTTGGGACAGGTAGAAACATTAACGATTACTTATCCACCTGTACATACACAAACACGACACATACATGAAATGACGAAATTGCCGTACAATAGGCAGCTGGGTGTCGCGGCATGTTATCTCGATGATTAACAATACTGTCTTATCTAAAATTTTAGCATTTGCTTCGCGTTAGTGATCAAGTGTCTGAATACGAACGAATGTTCACGCTCGTTTCCCTTTCCGCAAAGATCGTGACAAGTACACAGATCAGTGTTACAATGTGACTTAAGAATGAACCGACTGTTAAATCGAATAAGAAATTTAATGTCATCCAAATGTCGGATGTTTTAACTTTGTTGAAATTTTGTTTTCGTCGATTCCAGGAACATATACTATATATATATTATAGCTATATATTTTCTCGTTTCTATAATTCCATATAAATATATTTCCTTATATACATAATAAATATATAATAAGACTTATAAAATATAAATAAGAACTGTCATTATTCCAACTATACAGAATTGTATTTCGTGTATTTGTTTGAATAATTATGTAGGTATATATACTGGAAATTTATTACATAACTTGTGAAAAATAATGAATATGGTAGTTGATTTAAATAAATTTTTTTAAGTTTCTCGTAGAGACAAAGATTTTTGTACCATTTGAAATTTTTATAGTGGCGCACTAAATGATGTAAGATTGTAAAAACGGAATTTCCTTGAAAAACTCAAAAATAATTATTAGCTAAAGATTTAATAATGTGAATCAATGTAGTATAAAACAAATGTCTTATGTGTTTACGTCTTATGTAAAAGAGAAGTGAATTATAATGTACATTTCTACGAAACAATTAAAATGTGACAATGAAAATGCGCTTTTCGAAGGAATCTTGACGTATGCACAACCTATGCACATTAATAAATTTTTCCAACGTAGTTGAAAGTTTAAAATAATCTAACAGCATTTTCAACCGTGGGTTTGAATCGATTAGAGATCGATTAATTCGAAAGTACTATTACGTCATCCAATCAGAAACCAAAGATAAAATAGATATGTAATGTCAATAATCGCTCTCGGAATGATCAAATTCACTGCGGTTGCAAACGCTGTAAAATATGACGTGTCTAAATGAGAAAATGTAATGTACAGAGTCGATGAGTTCGAGATTAGTGACGCTGGAAGGACATAAAGAAAAAATAAAAAATGCCGGGCACTCTGACGTATCCAATCTACGTTGGTGTTGATTCACACCCACTCAGAAGACGTGCCCATACATGGACCGCACAACATCGTTCTGCATCACGTGTGGCAGAAATCAATTCGCAATTTGATCGAATGTCCCTGTCGGAATCCATGGTGAGATATTGAAACTACATATGAAAGTTGAGAGAGAGAAAGAGAGAGAGAGAGAGAGAGAAAGACCCAGATAGTACAACAAATATTTATAAAATATTTATAAGATTTATTTGAATATTTACAAAATATTCATAAAAATATTTTATAAATATTTTTGTGTTTTTATATATATAGATTGCACTGCCCATACAGCATAGAATGTTGAAAGAATGTTGCTGAGATATTGCAATGTTGAATGTTGAAGTATCAATGTTTTATCAGTGTTGTATCTATATTGATTCTTCAACATTGATTGTTAATATTGCTGCAACGTTGAAACAATATTGAACAAATTGGATCACAAGTTGAATTTTTATTGATCTTTCCACATTGATTGTTAATATTACTGCAACATTGAAATAACATATTGAATAAATTATATATCAATATCTATTTTAGTTTGTAAAAAGTGAACAAAAACAAAATGTCATATAAACAGAAAATTTAAATCATTCAAATTCTTTTGACGAAACTAAATTTCTAAATGATATCTATATGTTTACGAGAATCGGCTCTCAGAGAGTGATCTTTGTACACACGGCACAATATAAGTACATACAGTGGCTGTGTTTCAAAATTGTTAGTACTGAAAATCTATAGCACACATAACGTAAATTATAGAGCCTATCCATAATTTGTTACCGTAAAAATAAATATAATTTAATTAATTTTTTTTTTCGATCGATGAAGAGAATTGGAATAAGTATATAATGTATAAAAGTCAATATAATTAAGGAGTTTCGAGATATATATAGATTCAAAGAAAAAGAGAAGTTCAGAGATACGTACAAATTTTGATTTAATAAATTGCACTGGGGTTTCAGTGTGTATATAGCTAGGGTTAAATATTATTTCAAGAGCTGTAGCTATTTTATTGAATAGAACTTTAAAAGTTGAAATCGTGCAAATTTAGAATATTTACGGTTCGATCTTATATTTTATTTATCTTTGTTTTAATTTTGGCTTTATATATATAGTCCGGATCTATATAATAGTTGTTTTAAGCCGTAAGAAATTGACCAATTACAGTCGAATGCGAGGAGAATAATTGACTAGGGGCGGTATTCAGTTCGTTCTTATTTCAAGATTGTCTTAAGTAACATCTTAAGATGCTAATATGGCCCTCTGATTGTTTTTATGATACTTTAAGACTGTACTTAAGACAACCTCAAATATAAGAATCGACTATACCGGCCTATGATTCGTTTATTTCTTATGGCTTAAAGTTTAAAATATATTCTATTCTAGATCCGGACTTATAGATCTTAAGTGACTTTAACATTCTCTCTAATCAATGAAATGGCTATATTTTAAGAGTATTTAGGGCCGCATACAAAATTTTGCAACAGTGACTGTAAAACATAAACTTAAGCCGATGAGCTAATTAGGATATTGCTTTAGGTCTACGTAATCTAACGGAAATGAAAATAACAGTAAACTTATCCATAACCTCGCAATAAAGTAAGTTTCAACCGATTGAAACTCGCCTTATGGATAAGTTTATTGCTATTTTTGTTTCCGTTAGAGTAGATCTAAAGCAGCATCCTGATTGGCTCATCGCCAGCGGCTTAAGTTCACGTCTTGAGGTTACTGTTACAGAAATTTTGTCTGCGGCTTATATAAAATCAAACTGTGAATACTGTTGCGTATATAACTTTTTCTTTAGAGCGGAAACGTAAAAAATGAAAATTTTTATGCATGATATATGACATATAACATGCATAATATGTATAAAAAATTTTTACTTTCCACCTTTTTACCTTAAGCCGGTTCTACATTAGTTGCAAGCTGATTGCAAGTTTATTGCGACAGCCAATCTGAAGCTTGCATTTTGAAATCAACGCTTTATATTATTGGCTGTCTCAACAAACTTGCGATCAGCTTGCAATTAATGTAGAATCGGCTTAAGGCAAAAATGTGGAAAGTAAAAATTTTTTAAAGCTTTAGAAAAAGTTGTATGATTAATTTTTTTGAGTCTTAAAATTTGTTTACAGAAGAGTTTTTGCATGCAGTAATGCAACTACAGATATACTTGAAATTTCACGTTACATAATAATCACAATTTTTAAGATTATTTTAAATTTAGATATCTAAATTTAAAAATAAATAAATTATTTATGAAATAAATTATTTATTTTTAAATTTACTAAAAACTTTTTTTTTACTTTAAAATTTTGTCTTAAAGTTTTCAACATTTTAATTTTTTACTCTTATGAAAACGTGCAGTATGTTTTCTTAAATAAATCTTTCTTAGTTAAATAAACTGCCACAAATTTGTGAGTATTTAAATGTTATCAAATTTATCAAATCATAAAAATCTTATATAAATCAGTCGTAAAGCTATCTCATCG